TATGAATAAAGCATCTACAGTTGTTGTCAGACGTCTTTTTCCACTCATTGTAATGTCAGAGTAATTTTGGACTTTTAATGATGTATTTGGCCTGTTCTTTTCCCTGGCTGCAATGATTGTACACTATACATCTTTAAATGTATTTTCTCTGTTCCACACACGCGCAAAGTCAAATACTTTAATATTTAAGTATGAGCCCAATGAGCTGAATGACTTCGACCGGTGGCACTGACGTCACATCTCATGAAGACTCTAGAGCGGCTCTTCCTCAACCTACTCCGACCACAGGTACAACATGCCCAGGACCCACTACAGTTCGCCTACAAGGCGGGTGTCGGAGTGGAGGATCACACTCTGTGATTGTGTCTGTGAATCCACTGTGAGCTCTCCCCGCTGTCCTCCCTTTGTGTTCAGGCTTGCCGTTCTATAGTTTAGTTTCTCCCAGTTTAGTTTATCCTAAGTTGTGTTTTTGTCATCCCCACCTTGTGTTCTGTCTGTGTAATAAACCACCCTCGCATCTCAGTAAGTGCTGCATCCTGGGTCTCACTCCCACGCGACTGCTGCCCCAGCCGTGACACGTTTATTGCAGTATAATGCTGTAAAATTATGGCTCAGTTCTCTGGGCTTGGGTTGAGCCTTTTTTCAGACTAAGATTGTTTTCAGTGGAGAGGAACGGGCTTAAACCATGTCTGGGAAACACGTCGTAAATGATGGGTCGTTCGGCCCCTTCGTGCCCAGTCAGATCTGGCCCTGGAATATTGGAAGCAGATCCAATCGTGCAAAAGGTTTGATCACACGAGTATCTGAAAAATGTTCCTCAAATATTTTTTGTGGGGCAATGTCCTGCTGATGGAGGTAGCTGCTGTTGGGCCCGTTCTTCTGCAGGAGGATATGGTTGAACATCTAATCACCACTTCCATCAGTGGTCCTCATGCTGAGCTCACACAGACAGAACTAGGGATGGGTACCGGTATCCGGTGCCATGATGGCACTGGTTTTGACATAAACTGTAGTAACCAGACCGAAAAGAAGCGCACATACATACAGGTGTGGTGCCTGTTATCGGACCCGGAGTTTGCAACATCCCCCAAAAACCCGAAGAGGAGAGTCCTGGCCCCTAGCCCTGCCAGTGTAGCAGAAATGATGAGGATGATGACGCAGCAGCAGCCGTTCTTCTCTGCGTGAGTAGCTTAATGTTAATGTGTAATTTACGTTGAGTAGGCTAACCACGTTATTACATTAATGCATGTAAGGTGAACTAGCAAAAACCATAATAGCCACATGCAGCTGTCTTCTTGTTTGATGGCAGATACTCCCTTCACCCTGGCCAAAAAGGCTAAAATGACCAAAGAAAAAGTGGAAAACAGTTAAACATGAGAGGTTTTTAGACAGAGTTTGTGTTTTTTCCATTGTTTAAGCTCTGCTTCCAGCCAAGAGTGATACCATATATGCCCCATAGCTGCAGAAAAGGCTAACATTGTTATCTTTTTACAAAAAAACAGCTGAACATGAGAGGTTTTTGGACCAATTTTGTGTTCTCCATTATTTAAGCACCGGCACCGTTTCAAAAGTACCAGTTTGGCACCGGATAAAACCTAAACGATACCCATCCCTAGACAGAACAACAAACAATAAACTGTGAAAAAAATGGAAAATACCAAAAATAATGTAAATCTTCTTGGCCATGAAGTTTTATTAGAAAATAAACTAAAACTTTTCATCAGTAGAAGCTCAACTACAAAAGATGACTAAGCATTCAAATGCACATAAACATTCAGCTACAGTGTGAGAGAAGCTACCTCATCCACAGGGTAGATGAGCATTGATGATTCTGTAATCACCCATAAAGTGTTTGGATATGTAAGTTTATGTGTAACAGATATCCAAATGTTTATTACATGAAAAAGCTCATGTTACAGCGCTGTCGCTAACTGCCTCCATCAGGTTACCAGCTGCTGAGCTACATTTAGCATTTAACTCAGAAACTTCAATTACAACAAACATGGCAAGTTTTAAAATAGTAAGTTACAGTTAAAACGTTATTTGATGACAGGCACAGTGACGAGCAGTCAGTGGTTAAAAACGTTGCGTGTTGTAGCCCAAGTCCACCTGAGCTTCGTCTCAGCAGCTGAATATGGCTTCAGTCTCCTCTGCGATCTCTTCCAGGTCCGGCGACGGTGGGTCGCTCTCCTGTGGAGAGATTCTGGATCTACGCTGTCGCAGTTCACTGGGCGGGGCTTCCCCATTCCCAGGAATCATGGTCTTCCCCAGAGCCTGCAGGCGTACAACACGATAGTAAACGAACTGCGAGACAAACCGTCATGTGACACTCTGTTAGCTTTGATACCTGGTTCTCAGCCAGAGCCTCTTTAGCCATGTAGTGCTCCCTCTTTATCTTCATCTCCACCTCTTCGGACACGTCAGGAACCATCAGATCTATTAAGCGGCCGATGAAGAAGACTACATGCTGAGGAAGAAAAATGGGACAAATGCCGATCAGCAGTTCACAGACTGCTCGGGGTTCAGTGAAGTCTGAGAGACACTGACCTCAAAGATGATGACGAAACCGAGCCGTATAGC